TAGCTATGTGTGAAAGAACTTCCCGCTTCGAATAATTAGATTTTTCAGGGATGGGATTTACACAGAAAAAGAACGAGTCCAAACTGGCATTCCATCGAATACCCAATGGTTTGGAACTACTTGCCTCTATAAAGGAAAGAACCTGAGCGTCAACTAAATGGTCAATGGGCAAACTAGCAAGAACAGATTTGTCGTTTGCAGTCCACTTTCTCAACTCAAATTTAGCTGTGGACAAAGAAGCAATGAGCTGGTCCCGAGCAAGAATAGCGGTGTCTAGGTCATGAGCGCCAGCAAGGACGTCATCAACATACATACTTTTTCGAAGGATATTTGAAACCAAAGGATATTCAGACTCACAATAATCAGCAAGTTGGAGCAAAGTACGAATTGCTAAATAAGGGGCACAATTTACTCCAAAAGTGACAGTTTGCAGTTCGTAATCTGAAATGGGGTCATTGGGGGATTCCCGAAACAAAATTCTTTGAAGAGATGTATGTTGTGGGTGAACGCGAATTTGACGATACATTTGCGTGATGTCACAATTAAACACGAACCGAAATAAGCGCCATCTCAATATTAACAAGACTAAGTCTGCTTGGAGAGATGGTCCCACGTGAAGGATGTCGTTTAGACTTATACCAGTAGAAGTTTTATTTGATGCATAAAAAACTACGCGTAAATTGAAGGTCTGTTTTTCTAGATTGACAACTGGGGGATGGGGAGAAACAGAGCACATGTGACCTAAGTCAAGATACTCGCGAACAAGTTCAAGTTCAATATGATAATACAAATTGAAAAAAAAAAAAAATGACAAAAGAATAATAACAAATTGAAAAACTTGTTCGCTGATTTTTTACAGCAACTGTTTAAAGATCCTTACAAAGTTTGTCAATAGTTTGTTTTTAGCGATTTTAAAAAGGTTATTATCTTCTAACTTTGGTGTGACAGCGTTAAATTATTTCGATATCATCTATTCCGCCACCACATAATTCGGTACTACACTTCCATGTAACCCGTCATCAATTTCAGTTCTCAAGAAATCAAGTCAATTAAATAAATTGATATTATGATATTCGAATTCAAAAATAAAATATAAAAAACACTACAAATGTACATTAGAAAAAAGTAAGTCAAAATGGAAAAAAAATCATGCAAAATAAAACATTACTATTGTACATTTCAAAAGTCAAAATGAAAATGTTAATATATCACATTTTTACGTGATTTTTTTTTGTATATTATAATTTTTGGATAGGAGACAATTCCGAATTTGTATGAATCATTAAAATCAGTTCAGCGGTTCTTAAGTTATAAGCGTAGTAACTAACACAACTTTCATTTATATATATAGATATATATATATATATATATATATATATATATATATATATATATATATATATATATATATATATATTGCTACTCCTTCAAATAGATTTAGTGTAAGTTGGTAAAGAGAGACAGATAGTTACTAATTTGTTACCCATAATTCACACGAACTGGTGTAAACAGATATTGCTTGTACTACCATATGTACTTGTAGTGTGTTCCCATAATCAATAAATTATTGATGTTAAAGTTTTTTAAGATATTACCATCATTGTTTATGATACTAAAAAAGGGAAACGTAGGTATTTTATGAAAATGTTTTTAGTGATTACATATTTGTTTAGTTAAATTTAATTGAAGCAAAAAAGGCGATTTTTAATAATAATAATGGAAGTATTTAGATGTTTTCGAAATTTGATCACGATTTCTCTCATATGATTTAAAAGATTTTTATGTACGAGAACACACCTAACCACAAAAGTGTAACAAAAAATGGTGTTTGACTCTCAGGAACATAAAAAGTATAATAACAATTTTTATTTGACACTTTGAACATTTATTACTTTGTGGTACAAATTCTATAAGAAAATCGAACTTATAAAAATCTGAAATCAAAATATATATTTACTATTTATTTCGGAAAAATTTTATCAAAAGTAAAAGTTCTACTATTTTTTGGATGTATACGAATAGTTAGTGGTATGTATTGGGCTAATATGAAATGTCCATACAACTTTGTACGAGAAATAGCGTGGCGGCAATATGCATTTTTCAAAGAATATATTTTTATGCATTGTCCTATAGTTATTTTTTAAGAGGTTTATTTCGCCTCATATTTCTCATTTATTTCAAAATAATATATTTTTCATTTTATTCGAAGTAGACTTTTTATATGTGTATTTTTCAAAACATGGCTGCTTTTGCTTATTTTTAAATAGGAAAAGATTTGCTGTTATATTTGTATATTTGGACTATTTCTCTTGCATTACGTGTGTAAAATAGTATCCAATCTCATAATTATTAATTTCCAACTTATTGATATTAAGGCTGTATTCTCTTTGTTTAAATAAAATACAACTAATATTAGATCTGTTTTTAGTGTAAAAATGTTCCTCGACACAATAGAACCATTCCCAGAGTCCTAAGTCCATTAGTTTCCGAGATAGTTGCGATCGTTTGAAGTTGAAGGGCACTAGTCAATTTTCAGGAAAATTTCCAACTTCTTGAAATTAAGGCTGTATTCTCTGTGTTTAAATAAAATACAACTAATATTGAAGCTGCTTTTAGTGTAAAAAATGTTCCTCGACACAATGGAACCATTCCCAAAGTCCTAAGTCTATTAGTTTCCGAGATATTTGCGATCGTTTGCAGTTGAAGGGCACATAATTATTAATTCCAACTGAATTTACGGCGTTACTCGTGAAATTTCACACGAACATGGATTATTACTAAAATCTATTAATATTTCAATTTTCAAAAGATCTTTGAACCTTGCTTTGGTTGATAAATTCTTTGAGATCAATTTAAAACGCAAAATTCATGAAAAATAATGAATGTTATATTTATTTCATTGAAAAAATATCACTTCGAAAAAGACGGCATTGATCAGCCTTATTTTTACATACATTTTCTTCAAATTTATCCTCTTCAAACTACAAACAAAACTTTGCTGTGAAAAAGATCTGCCAATAGAACGTGAGTCGAACCTGGAGAGTTTCTAGTGAATAATTCACATATGCTGATTTGCAATAAGTTCGAAATATATACTACTTTCCAGAGAACGGCCCTTGTAAGCCATCATCCACACCAAATATGCCTGATGAGCCGCTTAACCAACGGCGAAACGCGTCGCATAGTGGTGAGTGTGTGATAGTATCTATCTGGCTTTCCTTTTCACTGCAAATTTCAGATCATTAAGCTCGTCTCGAAAGAGAAAACAAACACATACAATGCATGCCGTTTAAAGAATAGATCTTTTGTTTTACTTTTTGAATAGTATTCGTAGGTTTGAAATGGCATACCCTCCTTAGAGACGATTTATATCAGTCAATTCTCTTTACATTTTTTATGCTATTCGTAGATAAAAATGTTGAGGTTACTGGGAGTGAAGTAGAGCCCCGGACATTTTACACCATTTGACGGCATTGCAGTTTTTTAATATGTAAAATGTTCAATATGAAAGCACTTGCAACAAATGATTTTTGTAAAATTCCATTTTATATTTTTCACTCAAGGCAAATTTTTAAAAGGTTTATTTTCAAACAACAATGTAAATTTATAAAACAACATTTTTGTCATAGTCAATAAATTTTCAATGGAATTAATTAAATAACATGGACTTTCAAAAAAAGTTTCTAAGGCATATAAAGAACATATTGCTGATCTGTTTTAGTTTTTTTTCTGTGTTAATTAAATGATACGATAACATCTGAAAATGTTACATAGGGTGTCTGAAAGAGATCGGATTGAATAGCAATTTCATTGCCTATGAATATATTCACAACATATTGTATATTGTCGCCATTTCAAATCATTTAAAAACAATAGCACACTACACCATTCATCAGAAGATAGTACAATTAAATCAATGCATTGCATTGCTTGTCAACACTTGATGTCATCTAACATTCACAACCAATATAGCGAGTCATACGAATTATCGTACTAACATAAATGGGTTTATAGTGGAAAATTTTATTTCAAGTTTATTATTTACTTTTTCCAACAGAAAACACAAAAGTATGTTATAAAATTGTGGCGAAGTCAGATTACATTAAGCAAAAATATTTGCCGCACTTATCAGTTTTTTATATTTCGACCTCCATTATTTGCACTGCATTAGAATGTGAACGAACAGTAAACAAATCAATTTTATTTCTTGACATGTAACGGCTCTAAAAACGACTTTAGTTCATATTGTCGAATTAATTCATGTCAAAAGCAATGAAAGAACGAAAGCATAAAAATGAATCATTTCATTTCGAACTCTGGTGTCTGCCGATTGGAGGGGTTCAAATGTGGAATATTTTTAGGCTTTTCCATTCATATATTGTTAATTACCAATTCGAATTAGGTCTACTTTTTAAATATTAAAATATTTTAATTACTTTTTTAAACCCATTAGCACCTCAGATTGTGCATTAGAATCCTCATAAGTCCTTTATATGTTCACTACTCCAAAACATCGACCTACCTTGAAAACTTTCTTCTACCTCTTATAATCCAAGATGACAAATAGAGGCCAAATCAAAAAAAATAGCATGTCAAACTGAAAAAAATTTCCCGTGATTTAAATAAGTAAAAATAGTTTTATCCACGTCATAATTGAGGGCAGAACGATTTCAGAATAGTCAAATATAATTACTAATTGGAGACCCCATAAAGTTCATATTTTTCATTATAGTACATCCCAAATCTACGTTCCCAACCAATATTCTCTTGGGGGTTACAAAAAAAATTTCTTTTGTGACCACACAATAATGTGGGGACTTTATTTAAATAAATTCCTATGTGGCAATTATCTGTATGATGGTTCCCTACCCCAGGTGGTCAAGACCAATATGGGCCCTACTCTGAAAACCTCAAATTATATATATATATATATATATATATATATATATATATATATATATATATATATATATATATATATATATAAAGTTCATATTTTTTATCATAGTATAATTCAATAGCGACTAAACAAATGTTCTGTACGGTGTTTCTTTCCAATATTCGTATTTTTATTTTTATATAATTTGGCATATTGGAGCTTATTTCTTATGGGCGTACATCCCAATTCTACGTTCTATTCTGTTGATGGTTATAAATTCAATGGAATACAAAATTGCATTTTCTGACTACACATTAGTTTGGAAAGTGGACTTGGGTGTACACTTATTGTGGGGACTATACTTTAATAAATGCCTATGTGGACAATTACCTGTAAGATGGTTGACTACCCCAGCATATCCTAAATACAAACAATACAGGTTTTCTACACCCTACGAAACAAAGATGACAAATAAGAGCAAGAAAAAATGAAAGAAGGTGGCCAAGATCCCGAAAATAGTTTAATCATACGATGGTTATACCAAAATGTGATCAGTTTTTGCAGGGATGGTTTCTTCTCAAATTACCAACATTTGCCGAGATTAGTATGAAAAATATATAATAAAAATGTAAAATATACTTAAAATCGGGTTGTACCCTTATATGAGGGTTATGACCCATATAATGGCCTACAAAAGTGGTGTAAGTTATCTTGAACTTTAAGTAAGCATTTCTGGAAGGATATAAATCTCTTTCTTATCAAATTTCAAATTCAATCTACTATTTTGCAATATATATAAATATATATATATACAAATGAACTCAATTTTTTTTCTAGTTCTTCAATTGAAGCGCCAAGGATTCTTCCAATGTTCCCAGCGTATTACATTTTCAACAGTTTACTCATTATGTTGCTTGCCCTTCACATTGTTTGGACGTACATGATACTTAAGATTGTAATAGATTCTTTACAAAAGGGATTGGTGAGCATTTTCATTTAAGAACACATTGCAGTCTCATTGATTATTCATTTCCTTTACAGATGTCTGGTGATATAAGATCGAGCGACAGCGAAATTTCTGAAAGTTCGGAAAGCCAAAAATCGCTCAATAATGGTGACGTTAAACCTGTAGATAAAATACAAAAGAGAGCTCTAACCAAAACAGAATAACCAAATAAGCAAAATTATTTCCTCCGTTTGTATTTCTTTTGTATGTTATGTACAAACTATGTATGTTGTAGAATATTTAAAAAGGTTTTTAATGTCAAGAAACCACGTATAAGTAAATTTATTTTGTACTATAATATTGGAATAATAAATGTTTATTTTATTGTTGCTTATAATTTAAAAATTGTAGTAAGTTATCACTAATGTATGTGTTTGTTTGTGAGATGGGCAAGGGAGGAAAAGAAAAACAAAATAGGAAATAAAACAAGTAGTATTAATTTCTTTTCTCAGTAAGTCTGCTGATTTATTGAATTGCTTTGTAAGTTTACTTCAACAATAAGGTTACCTCTTTTCAAATATGGTGTGTTTGTGACAGTGCCCGTGATGGGTATTGCTTCAAAGACTAATGACAAGTGAACGCAGAGGTTCTAGGTGATCGCAGAGGATCCCATGTCTGTCTACTAATACAACTACAACTACTTCCAATGAGAGCATTTGTAACAAGGTGATGTTACCGACAACAACCAATGCCCAGCGACGATCCGCTCACTACGGTCTACGTCAGGGGAGTTGTAGAGGAGATGCATGTGCGCCAATCAGCATCCGTGATTGATCGAGCAAGGGAAAAACTTATACATTGCCGCCCACCTTGATATACATGCATGTGTATCAACTAAATAAAGCTCAAAGGAATTATGTTATATATAAATATGTACAATAAGATTTACAAGGACGTAAGTTCAGTTTATATGACCAAATTTCATTTTATTAAATTCAATTTTTTTTTTAAACTAATAACAGTTAATTACATGTTGGTTGACGGGGCCCGAAATTACCCATCCAAACGAGGTATATTTCGCAAACAACAGACTTAATTATGTAACCCGACTAACTTGACGACGGGTTGCCTAACAATACCCTGAGCAGTTCGGACGTCTACAACGCGAACGTTACCGTAATTACCGGGATGTGTCTCGACTACACGTCCTAGTTTCCAAGAAGTAGGTGGAAGTTTTTCATGCCTAATGACTACTAAATCATTGATTGCAACATTTCTCTCCGGATATTTCCATTTGTAACGCTTATTCAAGTTAGTTAGCCAGAAATAAAGCCGTCCATAGATCAGACGCCGCCTCTAAATGCACAGCTTTGGTCGTGAAACAAACAAAGACACAAACGTATCTTTTAGTGATACGACAAGCACGACCTGTAAATGACTTAATATCAAAAGGCCCAGCAAAGTCTATCCCAGTTGTAGTGAAAGGTCTATTTATCGAAGTTTCTTCGGGAGGAAGTGCAGCAATAATCTGCGGACACGATCGATTTTTCTCTAGCCGGCAAACCTTGCAACGATTAATGACTGTACGGAATAAAGAAAGAAGGGAGCTAGAGGAAGGTAAAGGCCGTTTATCCAAAAGATCCTTATACTCATCTGCACAATGACACTTCTGTGCTAATACGGCTAAATGATTCTTAACCATTCTAATTTCTTCAGAGGTTGGGATTTTACTTGTGAAACAATTTGCAGGCCGATTGTGGGGATGAGTTTTATGAATGAAACGGTACATATATGCCAAAACTCGCAACGCTCTATCAAGTGATGAGAATCGCTCCAAAATATCTTCATATTTTGTAAATATACAATTGTGGAATCGGTCCAACTGTAAATCTTGTTAATTGGAATGTCCAAGTCACTCAAAATTGGCTTTAGGAGTTCCGACGCTAGTACAGCGCCACATAATTCCAAGCGAGGTAGTGAAATCGATTTAATAGGGGCTGCTCTTGTCTTAGAGGCTAACAAATGAACACTAATATCCCCTAGAGAATTTTTTGTTCGCATATAAATTACCCCCGCTTTCTCCGAAGCATCAGAGAACACATGTAGTTCTGCCAAGGTGTTTGGTTCATAACGAACCCAACGCGGAATTGTAATCGAGTTAACATGAGGGTAATTGTCAACAAAAGTGAGCCAAGAATTCTTTGTAGCAAGAAGAAGCGGATCGTCCCATCCGATGCTATCTAACCACACCTTCTGCATAATAATTTTTGCTACCACTAAAACGGAAGCTAACCAACCTACGGGATCAAACAACTTAGCTATGTGTGAAAGAACTTCCCGCTTCGAATAATTAGATTTTTCAGGGATGGGATTTACACAGAAAAAGAACGAGTCCAAACTGGCATTCCATCGAATACCCAATGGTTTGGAACTACTTGCCTCTATAAAGGAAAGAACCTGAGCGTCAACTAAATGGTCAATGGGCAAACTAGCAAGAACAGATTTGTCGTTTGCAGTCCACTTTCTCAACTCAAATTTAGCTGTGGACAAAGAAGCAATGAGCTGGTCCCGAGCAAGAATAGCGGTGTCTAGGTCATGAGCGCCAGCAAGGACGTCATCAACATACATACTTTTTCGAAGGATATTTGAAACCAAAGGATATTCAGACTCACAATAATCAGCAAGTTGGAGCAAAGTACGAATTGCTAAATAAGGGGCACAATTTACTCCAAAAGTGACAGTTTGCAGTTCGTAATCTGAAATGGGGTCATTGGGGGATTCCCGAAACAAAATTCTTTGAAGAGATGTATGTTGTGGGTGAACGCGAATTTGACGATACATTTGCGTGATGTCACAATTAAACACGAACCGAAATAAGCGCCATCTCAATATTAACAAGACTAAGTCTGCTTGGAGAGATGGTCCCACGTGAAGGATGTCGTTTAGACTTATACCAGTAGAAGTTTTATTTGATGCATAAAAAACTACGCGTAAATTGAAGGTCTGTTTTTCTAGATTGACAACTGGGGGATGGGGAGAAACAGAGCACATGTGACCTAAGTCAAGATACTCGCGAACAACTGCATAATACATTTCTTTGAGAGAAGGATTGCGTAAAAGCGATTTTCGTTCCTAAAAAATTGACTTAGAACATTTTGACGCGAATCACCAATTTTCAGGCTGTGAGGAAATTCAGTACGGATGGGAAGTGTGACAACGTAAAGACCCTCTGAATTTCTCGTAGTTGTGGACCGATAATTATCCTCGCAGAACTTGTCTGATGGCGAAAGTAATGGCGTTTAGGGACCTCCTCAAGTTCCCAAAACCGCAGAATGGTTTCCTCACTGTAGCTCAAAGTGGTCGTAAAGACCTGCAAGGTTGAGGAGGGAATTGGACCCGATAGGATGCAACCAAAAGGGTATTTTGCGCCAATAGAGAGCCTAATATATTTTGTTGTACCCCCGGCAACAATATTTGCGGAACATATCTACGGAACGACAGTCAAAAATGTTTGGATCTGCCAACCGGAGATTTGGCAGAGAACGAACTAAAGTAGGGTCAACCGAAAACGATGGAAGGTTGCTAGAAATCTTGGGGAGCACAAAAGCATCCGTTTTCAACAAAACTGAAGCACTTAAGCGAGAGTTTATACAAATCCGACAGTTTTTCCGGGAGGTAGCGGAGGACGAACCATTTACACCAGAAATGGTTGCAAGAGTGGACATAGACAAATGAAAATAAAGACAACGAAAAGTTAGTTTTGTCTTTTTATCCAGGTGGCTCTCATCATGTTTTGCATAGTCAACATGCTGATTTACGCGTTCAAGCCACTCGACTTCGAAAACACATTTTATCGTTTTTCAAGAATTTCACTGGAATATTCCCATATTTTTCGATGTGATCACGTACTTTTCACATTTCTTTTATTATGAAATAATTTTCAACTGACAAATATCCTACAGTTTTTGTTATTTTTTAACATTTTTGAATTGAGTGACTTCAAGATTCCCACTTAAACCCCTGAAACGACATTGACGACATCTGCTGATCCGATTTTTTTCGAAGATGAACGGTGAGAGCATTTCGTTGTCTATATTTTCATTTGTCTATGGAGTGAATCGAGACGATAACTTCAATCTATTTTGAAGGTTCTCAGTTATAAAACTAGCCTCCGACGCCGGGTCAATGAGGGCTCGAACAGGATAAGAATTTCCTTCGTGAACAATATTAACAATGGCGGTACCGAGAAGGACTCGAGAGTTATGCGATGTGTGAAACACTTGACGGATTTGCACCAGTGTTTGTAGGCACCGATCGATTAGGTTTATGCATAAGGGTATGATGATTTTCATGACATACATAGCAACTATGTGCACTGGGACAATTACTAACCGAAAGATAAGTTACGAAAATATTGATATTTTTCTCGCAAAGGAGCACAATGATATGTACATATAATATGCCGAATGTAGGGTGACAAAAAATTGTGTGGGTAAGCAACTGCCTCGCTTCGAACTAACCAACGACGACGAACCAACAGTGAGAGTTGGTAGAATAAATAAGTTGTTGTTATAGTTGTTGGTTAGGTTTGCAATGTGGGTGATTTTATTCTCGTTGAGAGTAATACCGAATTGATGAGATGTAAAAGAGATCACTCGACAAATGTGTGGGGAATATTGCAATAACCGAACACGAAATTATGCACACTACAGCGGCAGATTATTTTATAAACAGAAATATATTTCTTTTTGATAAATTCGAATTATTAAACACAAATTAACCGGGAAATTTGATTATTTCGCAATAAAATGGAAAATAATGCGAATAAATCTCGATTTAAAGGAATCTTTAATAGATTCTTTAGCAAAATAAAATTGTTGTGGACTGTAAATTTAAGGATACCGCGACTAAGGGTAAAACAAAGGCGACCAGTACCGCGAAGCAAACAGAAACTAACACTTTTTTACTTGTTTTTCAAAAATTAAAGCACTCTAAGCTCACAAAAACAAAATTCACTGAACTTACGTACCTTTTTTGATGTTGATGATGATGAATAGGATGATGTTGATGCCGTGGTGCGATTAATGAAAGGGGATGTGTGTTTTGCAGATGATTTCTTTGTAAAAAGAGAACAAGAAACAGCAATTAATAGCCAGGCAAACTTCTCAACTTGGCGAATCCGGCTCGATGCGGATGATATTATTTTTACAATAAGGTTACCTCTTTTCAAATATGGTGTGTTGGCGACAGTGGCCGTGGTGGGTATTGCTTCAAAGACTAATGACAAGTGAACGCAGAGGTTCTAGGTGATCGCAGAGGATCCCATGTCTGTCTACTAATACAACTAAAACTACTTCCAATGAGAGCATGTGTAACAAGGTGAGGTTACCGACAACCAATGCCCA